AGACTCCAACGTCCGATTTCTTGTCTATGAGACTTTTCATCTTTATCTTCCTTTAACATAAAACATTCAGGATCGATATATGGTACCTAGAGATGGGCAAATCGCAGTTTCTCCAAAAATCCCGCAGTAACCGGGATTACTGTAAATTTCGGCCGGAATTACGGTATTGGCCCGAATTATCCCGCGTGTCACGTGATTAATCACGCGCGGGATCCCCGAAAACTTGCTTTGTAGTCTTAGATTTCGTTGTTTTAATATTATGTCGTGACAATCCAGAATCAGCATCCAATTTTAAAAATTCTTGGTGAACAAGTATATTATTAGAGTGCTTTTAAGGATCTTCATTAATATTTAAGCATCATTACAATCAGTGTTGTACATAGACACATGTCCAAGAAAATTATTGGACATGGACAGTCAATGGACAATGTCCAAATGTCCAGTCCATATAATTTCCAATGGTCAATATTGTACATGGACAAATGTCCAGTACAATCTTTGGACATGGACAAACGTCCATGGACAATGTCCAAAAAAATGTCCAAATGTCCAAGCACATTATTGGCTAAAATTATATATCAGCAAATTTACTAATTTTATTTCTGACAAAATTTATTACAAACGCAATTTACACAGGTCGAATGAAGGCAAATCAGCCTCTAACTAGCACCACGCAATCCTAATAAGAACCGGATTTGAAACAGATATTTAGCGCAAATAGAAGATCTTTAGGATACAAATTGGGTTCATATAGGCGCTCAATACATATCGGAATGCCGATAGCTCTATAGGTAAATCGTTAAAGCTATAAGGTATGCTTTATTGATTTACTAATAGAATTATCGGCACTCAGAACGCCTATATGAACTCGATTTGTATCCTAAGGGTCTCCTATTTGCGCCAAATATCAGGCTCAAATAGGTTCATATCAGGGTTGCATAATGTCGGTTAGAGCCCAATTTGTCTTCATTCAACCAATGAAAACAATCAAATATGAAAAAAAAATATATTAAACCTATAAATTAGACAGTTGTGCGATTATAGCTATTAGACAAAACCTCGAAGTTTCGCGCTAACGAAACGCGAAACCTAGTTTCGTCAATTAAAATCTTAAATGATGAAACTGTAAAGAGTGACAAAACTAATAAAAGACGAATATCAAATAAATTTGGAAAATTATTGAAGATTATGTATATAGAAAGACAAACTAAAACAGAAATTTATAAAAATTACAAAAAATTTTATTGTACGTATAATAGACGTTTGAATTGTTTAAAGGGAGTTAGAAATGAGTGGTCTATATTGTATTTTACTAGGCCACTATATATCAGTTCTAGTGAGAAATCGCTTGGTGCTTACTTTGTGACCTTACAAATTTGGTTTGTGCCTGTATGTTTTAATTCGTTACTTGTGTTATCCCATGAGTACCACGGCTTTTTGACAAGGTTATTTCAACCGGTCTATAACAACCCTAGCGTTGTTCAGAAAAATGAACGTTTTGCCGTTATACATGTAATTTTAGATACTAATCTTTGAATAGATTAATTCAATGAAAATAATAATTTTTTTTTTTTTCTTTTTTTTTTTTTAGAATAATCTTCTTTGATTTGATTAAAACGTTTAAGGTTTGAAGGTTACCCTTAATTTTACATTTTTTCATAAAATTTCTATCTACTTATTTCACATTCTAACCTTATCAATATCTTACTCTTATCGTTATCCACTATCCTAAATAAGTAACTGCGCGATATTGTCGCGCTAAACCAGAAACGAACGAATATTAGCTTCATTTGGGCAATTCCAATACAGAATAGTTATATGAGTTATAGTTTTGAATTCAGATAAATAAATATCGGGTATACAACTAAATACAGAATAACTATATTGATATGAGACACTACAATTTAAACAACTAAAAAATTTCATAGGATTTTTAGATGTATATAGTATAGAGTGTAAATTACCTCTTTAAAGAACATATCATAACAATCCACTAAAATTTTCTAATGCTATCCTTAATAATACATAATGCCGGAAGATATTAAAATTTGGGGTATTCCACACCCTATACCGTACGGATCCGTTCAGAATAATCTGCATAATTTAGAAATGTTCTTGGCAGATGATATTTACACAGACTAACGTGGATAAGAAGCTAATGAAATGTGAACAGCTTATATTAAATAGACCGATGAATAATCACTAAACTTAGACTAAGGGTGCTCTCAATGTGATTAGATAGCTATCGAGATCATGCATAAGTACTACAATTAATTCTGTAATTGAAGCGATCCCTTTTGCTGACTGATTCCCTTTTCAATAAATTAAAAGCCCTAGACAAGCTAGAAAAAATAAGCCAATTAGGATCAGAATACACTCACTAAAAAAGCTGTCAACTACCAGACCGAACTCCTAGTCCCGAAGTCTGACAAAAAAAGATGGTTTCAAACTTTTTTTTTTATCGTGATAATGAACCTACTTACCAGTTAAACTACTTTCAACCAATTAAAAATTGAGTTCCGACCTATAATTTATGTGCTTGAGAAAACCTTAAATCATATGAATAAAAATTAAAACGAGAAATTAATTAATACGTATACTGATTGATAATGTTCAATTGATTAGATTAAATAAGAAATACTTAATTGAAATATCATGTGAAAACCTGACACATAAGACAAAGGGTTTTATAAACCAATTTCAACCCATTAAAGATTTTTAGAGCTGTTAACGCTTATATGGCTTCTTTAAATATTATAATGCTTTAAAATAATTATTACTTTAGCAACGTAATAATATTTAATGAAAGCTTATCGATATTATTTACCACAATTTGAGCCATTGCCAGGTCATGCTCTAGCTATAACACAAGTCGTGGCTTCAACAATTATGGTTTAATCTGGATTCAGTTGCATGACATAGCTTAAGTTGCAGCTCATCGGCTTTGATCCATTGTGCAGCTATAACCGGCTTCGGAATAAGCCATTAACGGCTCTGAAGACTATTTGGTATTTGGTTAGTTCAATTCTGAAGCTTCAATTCCGAAGGACAATAATAAAAAAAAAGCATTGATCGTCATTCATAACAGTTCTTTGTTTTTTAATCGTACTTTTTTGGTTGAGTTACTTGGTTTTAATCGATAAGTATAAAATCGGGTAACCAATAGATACCATAGTTTAGCAATTTCCAATTCAGATAATTGTGATATGGCTATAACATGTATAGGTCTATTCACACAAATTTGTTATTAGGTTTGTCTATATCGATATGGAAATGTCCATGTCCATGTACAACACTGATTACAATTATGTAAATGAGAGCATGGATTTACCAGATCGCCGCGAACTATATAAGAATCATGTAACCATTTAACAGCATCTTTTAAAGTACAAAATTCCATTAATTTAAAAGCGAATATTACAACTTGAACCAATTCATTATCTATTTCTTTTCCCCTTGCACTTACCTACAAGTTGAGCTGCAAACTGAATTTTTAATTCCCATTTAATTTTTTTGGCATTTTGAGTAAATATTCGCTTAAAGCGCCGCTATCTGCATATTTCAAGTGCCAGTACCCTTGAAATCTATTTTATATAATGAATATTGCTAAAATTTATGATTTATAGAGCGGATAATTGTTAAAAATATACCTTCAAATTTAGCAATGCCATAAAATTCAATGACGTTCTTGCGGTGTTTTACTGAAATCATATTCTTTAGCTGTACATTGTAAATATTTTCAGTATAATTTATAAATATCCAATAGTTCAAAAAAATTCTGCATAATATAATATTAATTCATTCACAATTTCTTTACTAATTTCTTCTTTATTCTCGATTTCTTTTAATGCAAACACTTCATCCGTATTTTCTTTATTAATTACCCTAAACACTACTATAAGCCCCACTACCAATCATTTTTAATCTATAGTAATTGTATTCGATAATTTCTTTTCTCTAATTTTCATATCAATCCAAGCTTCATGCTCTTGCATGTTGAAGGAATAAATAATAATTATTAAAAAGTTATCAATAAACGTTGATATAAGCTACATTTTGTTAGTGACGTTTGAGCTATGGGCCTGCTCATGCACTGGGAATTTTTATTGGTTGACAAGTGTTTTTCCATAAATTTTCGTACAAATTAACCATACCAAGCAAATCGAATATATATACAGACGAAAATTTAATAATATTGCTGTACTGAGTAAGGGTGTTCTCAAGCACTTCACTCAATGGATCGGAAGTAAAATTTTAATTAGTCGGAAATTAAATACTTTTTTCTTCAAAAATTTACCGTTGATAAAGGTCGCTCAAGCATTACTTTTACATTTTTTTTACATATCAAACATAATAAACAATTAATTCTCAACAAATTACTAATTGGTCTAAAAAGATAGCCACTTTATTTTTAATGCCCGAAGCTTTTAAAAGTTTAACCAAACCATAATTAATACTGTTTTTTCATTTTTCTCAGTAAAGACGACCTAAAACTGAAAGGTTTGAGAAGATTTTTTCCAAATTTGATGGATAATAAAGAAATTTAAATTGTTAAAATCAAACTTTAACTGTGGATTGTAAATAAACTTTTCATTAGGTTTTTTTAGTAAACGAACATTACGAAAAACAGAAAAGTATGCTCAAGCATATAATTCTATAAATATCGTCATCAATTGTGATGTTTGAGCGTCATCACTATTATTATCTGATCAATTAATTTAATCGCTCAATTCCCCGAAAGATATTCCTCAACAGGTAACTTAGCATTCTATTAATTGCATGCATTTATTTTTGACAAGTTGTCACCCTGTCTGATGTCGAGTCGGGGAAATAACTTTCGGAGAATCGTGCCGTAACCCCAAAAGGACTACAAAGCCGGTATTTATTAATAATATAGAACATAAGACCAGGTAATGTATATATTTTCGGAATTAATTTTATCGAGTTAAACATGTCTAGTTAATAATTAATCTTCTTTTACATATCACAGAGGCACTACTATGTATGCTGGAATTACAGATAGAATTTATAAGGAAATTACAGCATTAGCACCATCTAGTATGTCATTATATAGAATTATTTTATTATCCTCTCTGTTTTAACTCACTACATCTACAGTATTAATGTGATTCTTTTTTTGGTTTAATTTAAATTTATTAAAACTAGGCATGAAAATTAAGGTAATTAATTAATACACATAATTATATGTATTCTTACTGTCAATGTTGGTTTTTAACAATATATAAATTCGTTCAGGTTGTCGCCCCTCCAGAACGCAAATATTCTGTCTGGATTGGTGGTTCTATCTTGGCTTCAGTACGTATATAATCTATTCTCATTTTTTTTCCTGCTATTTTTTACGCTAACATTCATGATAACGTCATATTCTAGCTTTCAACTTTCCAACAAATGTGGATTAGTAAACAAGAATACGACGAATCTGGTCCTTCTATTGTTCATCGCAAATGTTTTTAGATAAATAAGTTATATACTGTTTATTGGTGTGGTTTCATGGTTAAGGTTTTTTTTGCATTATCTTTATAGTCTTATGCTAATATTTTTTTAAACTTTCAACGAAATCAAGAAACATTTTTGGACTTTGTAACGGATTCTGAAGTGTCCTCCCGACCCAATTATTATTATCATTATTATTTACTATTTCTATAATTTTATTATTATTTTTATTATCCTCTTTTTTTCTTTTCCATTTGTTTTATGTCGGTATTCCCTATGCACTTATCAAGCTAAAAATGGAGGAGCGAAAGATGTTGCATATTTCAACAAATGGCATATGTGTCATTTGTTTCATTTACTAGATATGTGACATTTTGTAAGCTAAAAGGATTTTGTGTCTTTTCGTGAACTTTTGTCCTTTATTCAATATGTTCAAAAAGTCTATAAGCAACAATTTTACTTTAAATAAAAAATTAACTCAGCTGAGTTCTTCACTTAAAAATCCTCTCGTAGAAGTTATTTCTCTATAAGTTACTTTCCCTTGGTTGCAAATTCGTTCGCGATACATGATACTTTCTTGTACCGTAACTAGTGATGCATGACGAAACCATGTGATGCTAATTATCACGTGATATTATTTATAAAAATCAAAAAATAGATTGTTGATTTTTATATATAGTACCACGTGACGATTAGCATCACATGGTTCGTCAGGCATCACTACCCGCGAATATCGTCAAGTTATTATTTCGTGAAATTAGAGAAGAGTTACTATAAACGAGAACCCTTTTATAGAAACATTACATTGATTAAAACTCTAATTCGCGGTTGCTTTACAGTATAATTGACTCCGTGATTCCATAACTACCCTACGCAAAATCTATGGACAGTTCTTACGGACAATAAAATTCACGTGATATTACTAAACTACTACTCAGGGATCATAGGCAGACATTCGTATGATTGGCTGTTTAAATCAATTTAATTTTAGATTATTTATACAGTTTAAAGTACTTTT